AGAAGCAAAAGCAGCAGGAGGCGTCAAAATTACAGAGCACAAAAGGGATCAATAAAAAATTCAAAAAACACGGATTGCCAATCCGCTCGGTGTTGTCACTAGAACACAAAAAAGTGCCGTGCACACAGCTCCAGGTGTCCAAACAACACACAAATAAAACAAAAAAGGAATTAAAAGCCCTCAACAACAGCGACTACCGACACCGCAAAGCGACCGCACACACCAACCAACAACCACACGAAAAGTGGCCAACAACCAAAAACAGCACAGAGAAAATAAAGATAACAACAAAGGAAAAAAGTGCGCCCACAAAAACACACACATATATAAATATATAATTGAGACTTACAAAAAATCTAAAAAATATTTCACTTAACAAATAAAATAGTACGCACAAAACAAATACTAATAAAGCACAGGAGAGGTCTGTCTGCGTGGAACGCCGCATCGAGGGTCCTCGTCCCCGCCCTCAGCTCAGCAGTCACGAACACCCCCGCACCCATTGGGTCACAGCGACTTCCCATCGCCTGCCCGCATCAGAAGACGCACGTGGGCGCATGCGGTGCTGGGACTCGTCCCCTCCCTCCAGACCACCTCGCCACCACGCGGTTGCGCAGAGACTCATTCCCCCAGCATGCAAATGTCCGTTAAGCCACGCATCGCAGGCACAAAAAAACAAATAAACTCATCGTCCGTTTTTCAAGGGCAAAGAGAGGAGTAGCGCAACAGTTGCACGATGCTATTGTTACTGCAGTGCTGCGTCTTGCGAGTGCGGGGCCGACGGGCCATGTGCACATCATGACCCTGCCAAACGCTGCTCGCGCATTTTCTTTTTCTCGTTTTGCTCGTGTTTTCTCGTTTCCTCAAATAAATATGATGACCCGCCCGTCGGCCGCCATCGCAGTGCACGTCCGTCCCGCCACGTGGAGATGTGGAAGAGCGCCCCGTCGCCCGGAGACGGAGCTGCAGCGGAGAGCGAAAAGCACAACCCCGTGACGCTGCTGCCCGATTGGGGGGGTTCGACGGCATGTTGCTTTTTTCCCGCCTTGTATCATAATAAATCAATGAAAAGTAACGATACTGTATAATATGTCGTTAATATTATTATTAGGTTTTTTTTTTGCTGTGCATATTTGTTGTTACTTGTTGTTGCTGGTTTTACTGTTTTGAATATTTTTTCTTATTCTTTGTACCTTTTGTTGTTTCATTAGCAGAAGTTTTTTTTTTTTTTTCTCATCTTTAGTTGTGGTTATTTGTTCTACCACCCTTTCATATCGGTAAAATGCCTTCAAGAGGAAAGCCGGAGGGAGTGGTTGCGAATATCACTGCACCGGTACCTTCATTTCAAGATGAAAAATTTATTGAGCGTTTGCTTCATTATATCACACAGGGCGATGATACTTCGCTTGTGATGTCGACAGCAAAAGCATTAGGGGCTGAAGACTACATGATTGACCTTAAAAATCAAGTTGTTTTGGACTTGAGAATAGATTTTCTTCGTTTTTGCGCTGATCAGAAGTATGGGCCTTCTCAGATTTTACATCTTATGAGGTGGATGGATCATTTTCAGTCTGTTGTGGAAAATGGATGTGATACTGAGGAAATGCGATCTGAATTGATGAATTTTGTTTCTTCTGAAATTGAAGAGGGCTGGAAGTGGCGGCAAACACCTCCTGTTGATGAAATTGCAACCGAACCTCCTCCTTCATCCAAGAATTTAAGCAAAAAAGGCATGAGGGCGGCGGATAAGGTGGCTATTGAGGAGGTGGAGGCTGCAGCTTTGCTTCCTCGTGAAAACATTTATTTGACAAAAGAGGGTGTGGGGCCGTTTTGCACATATCTTCTTCATGGAATCATTCAGCATGCTTCGTTACATGCATATCTTGCTTGCCACCAAAGAGAAACAAGAGCACCGAATGATATTTTTGTTTTTACGGAACTGCCGGTAATTGCTCCCCCCTTGCGTCTTTACAACGCGTTAGAAAAGCCTTCAACAGAACCATCTACAAAAAATGATATGTTGAAAAGGTTACGCGGAACAGAGTTGGCATTGCTGATGAATGAATACGAGGAGACAATGATAAAGGAAGAATTGTGGCGAAAAACCAAACAGACTGAGGATGAAATGCAAATTTTCATCGAAAATGATGGTAGCAAAAGGGCGGTTGAAGATACTTATGAAAGACTGGAAGCTGACCTAACGCAGAGACAGAGACGGATTTTGCAGCGTATTACAGCTCTAGAGAAAAAATTGAGTCTTACATCTTCAACACAAACGCTCTGAGCAGTCGATGAATGAACGAGTGGAATGGGAAACAGGTCTGAATGTGATAATTATGTATTTGCGAACGTCTAATTGAAAACAATCCCTTTTTTTTTTTTAATTTTAGTCTCGAGACTGTTTATGTTATTAGCCTTTTCATTTATGGGCTTTTGAATTTACTTCTGGAAAGATATATTTGCTACCCATTTTCCGGATTTTTTTTTTATTCCTCTAAAAAAAAAAAAGAAACGGATGTGGGAATCGGCTTTTTGGTTGATTCCCACATCTATTTTGGACTAGAATTTTCTGGCAAAAGCATGAAGGGCTCAATTCTTTGAAAGGGGACATGATTCAAAAGAAATTCAGAATCTCTTATGCCGCGTGTTTCTCTTTTCCTTTTTTTCTATAAAATTTACAGCTGTACCCGTTTCTGGCTTTCGCTGAAGATCTCTGCCTCATTGGTTTAGCAGAAGATACCGACTGTGTATCCTGGAGTCTTTTTTAAATGGGCGTGCTCTTTTACATGGCATGTGGGGTAGTGATTTAAAGAAGCTGTGTTTTCTTGACCGTAATTAAAAAAAAAAGTTTTGGGGTAAATATGCTGGATGGCTCGACTTTTAATTAATGGATCTTGGTTCGGTTTGAATTCTGTTTATTTTTGAGCTTAGCGATTGATCATTGAAATCCATTTTCGCGTCTTTTTTTATATTTGCTCGGTTGGAAGAGGCACGCTTTTTTTTGCCTTTAATTGCATTTGACATTACCCTTTACTCATTGCCGAGTTAAACACATGTCGTTGTGATTCTTGGGTCCGTGTAAAACCCTTGAAAAGGTATGACCCAGCTGCAATAAATGGACGTGACCATGTAATATATATATTTTCTTTCCTTCAACCACAAAAAAAAAAAAAAAAAAAAAAAGATATAGAGAGAGAGGAGCTTTGAAGGAATTTACTTGAGAGGTAAAACTCTGCACGATTTAGCTTTTCCCAATGCGAACTATAGATCATCTTAAATGGGTCTTTTTTTTTACCGTGCCATTTTCTTCTCCCTCATTTCATATTTGCTGTAGCAAATTTTTTTGCTCTTTTACTCTTGTTACTTATTTAGAGAACAATTTCCTTGGCAAATAAAGAGAACAGACATACATTTACTTCAGGGAAGAAAAAAAAAAATGGAGCAGGTGAAGGTTGCGTTGCGTGTGAGGCCGCTCTTGCCAACAGAGAGAGAGCGCGGCGAGGACGCCAATATTTCGGTGCTTCCGGGTGGAACGAATGTTCGGGTTGTTACTCGTGTGAACCGTGGCACTCAAAATCAGTTGCATACTTTTGAAATGGATTATTGCCTTGGTCCAGAGGTGAATCAGCAGGGCGTCTTTGTTGGATTAGGGATTGCGGATATGTGTGATGCGGTTTTTGAGGGAAAGGCTGCCACTGTGTTGTGCTTTGGACAAACAGGTAGCGGTAAAACTTACACCATGAGTGGACAAGCCGAGTTAGAGGATACTGGACAAATGGCACGGGACGGGATTCAGTTTGCTGCAGCACGATATATAGCCGCAATGCGTGATAGACTTATGACTGTTAACGGTGACGCATCAATGACAATTAAATTAAAGGTTTCTTACCTGGAATTATTCAACGAACGCATCAAAGACCTCTTGAATGGGAGTGAAGGACTTAGGTGCCGTTGGTCAAGAGACGCCAACAGTTTTTTTGTAGAAGACCTGATGCTTGTGGAGTGCCTGAACGCTGATGACTTTATTTTGGCTCTACAGGAGGGACTGTTTAGACGGAAGCGGGCCGAACATTTTTTGAACACCCATAGCAGTCGCTCGCACGTGCTCTTCACGGTTTACGTAGAAGTTTCAGAGGGGGATGGACCCACTCGTCATGGCAAAATCACTTTTGTGGACCTTGCTGGGTCGGAACGTCTGCGGGACACAGGCAGCCAAGGTGATGACAGCAAATCCATTAATCGCTCTCTTTTTGTTCTTGGGAACGTTATTGAAAAACTTTCCAAATGCCACCCACTAGGTCGGAAAGATCATATTCCTTATCGCTCGAGCGTGTTGACGCAGTTGCTGATGGATACTCTTGAGGGTGGCTGTCGGACTCTCCTAGTGGCATGTGTGACACCTTCTTCCCGGTTTGTAGAAGAGTCGCTGCGCACAATCCATTTTGCTCAGCGGGCGCGAAAGATTCGGTCACGGCCGGTGGAGCGTGTTGACGCAGCGCAGCAGGAAATTTACGATTTGAAAATGGAAATCCGTCAATTGCAGAATGAAAATGCTTTTCTTCGGCGTGCTTTAAACTTGTCTGAAACGGGTGCTGTTGACCAGATTCTTATTCAAAAATTCAAACAAAAAAAAGCTGAGGTGACGGTGACATCTACCCCTGCGCCTGCAAAGAACGCAAAAAATACTTCAATCAGTGACCATCCGCTCTTGAAGAACACCACCCACCGCGAAGAAATGTCTCATGCGCACAGCAACAGAGAGTCAGTACAGCGCCCAACGCCGTTGGGCATTCTTGATCGTCTTCCAAGCACATGCGACCTTGCGGCACGACCACGACTTTTGTCGCCGGAGATGAGGCACTCACCGTCGTCAATGGTGTCCTCTTCAGCGGCAATATCC